ACTTACGAGTTATAAGTCCCCTCTGGTCTGGGGTTCGATTTTCCTCGAGTGTAGGGTGATACTCGAATTCTTTGGTGCATGAGGGATGATCGGGGCTTATAATAGCCTCGAGTCATTCCCTATTTTATATATATATATACTGAATGTTGAGATGGGACATCTTACTTGCTATTACAAAAGTAATGATCATAAAAAGTTTATCTGATAAATTAAATTATCTTATTTTTTAATAAATATACAACGCAACAAGAAAATATGAGAACTAATTATGTACACTAAAAAATTTAACAAATCAAGTTGGACCCACCAACCGGTGAAGTCTCTTCACAAATTAGTTCATCATCAAGCAATGAATCCACTCACTAATGGGGGTAAATTGCATGTCAAATCAAGTCAAAACCACTATATAGCTTGATCACTAGTTAAAAAGGTAAGCTTGACAACTCATTTACAAAACCTTGGTCTTCAATAAGTCATAACATATTAGAATGACCAAAAAACTAGCTAATGACAAGATCTAAAATTTTCCTAATGAATAGCTCAAGTTTATTTATGAATATTAGGCGCGAGTTAATCTGATGCTAGTTTTTGGCAATGATGCCCAGAGGCATGACTATAAATTTGCCCAACAATGAGCTTAGGTTATATTCACAACCTACTCACCTTCAATAAGCTCAGCATCTTACAAAAAACTTTGAGTTATCTCATCACTCAATAACTAAGGGTAGCATTACTTGATCAATTTAGCCATAGGAGGTGTTAAAACTCAAAAAGCGTTAAAGGATACACCTAAATATGAGGCATTAAATGTATCATTATTCTATTTATTATTTCTAACTATATAATCTTGATACACTATCATATAAAAACAAGTGTAGACACGAGAATATAGAACAATACAAGATATTCTCGTTGGCCTCATTTTATGGTCTCTGAATACTAGGCATTATCATGTATCATTATTCTAAAATTTATTTCTTTTCACATAATCTTTAAACACCTTCATATAAAGACAGATGTAAACACGAGAGAATAGAACAATACAAGATATACCGGTTGGCCTCATTCTCATCTTTGTCAATTTTGGATTCAATAATAATGATTAAAAATTAATTATAAATGCTTATTGCAAGGAGCAAAATTTTAAACCTTTAAGTTAATAGCATAAAATTTCCAAAGAAATAAAAAAAAAAACACAAGAAAGTAAACTAAGAGGCACAATAACTTTTGTATGCTCCAATTTGTAATAGCCTACATAAAAGTTCGCATTACTTCACATATTCGAGCCACTCTACATTTCTTACATCAAGAAATATCTTAACGGGCCTTCTTCACTTCATTATGAGCATGGGCATCGCCTATAAATATTTTTTCAAAAGAGGCCCAAGCTCGTAAAGATAAAATATTGAACCAATGGAACTAAATTTTTGTATCTCTTATCTTAAGTTTTCACAGCAAAATACAATAGATTTTTGAAGTATGGTAAAATTTTCAACCTTAAAAGCAAGAGGAATATAGGCCCTCTGTGAATAAATGTTCATTAAAATGTTCTCCATTTGAACTCAATAGATTGTTAGGATGGCGGCTCAAGGTTGAAGGCATCCATTCATCCAAACTTGTTAAGAGGATTTTTGGTGAGTACATAACCACAGCAATAACCCAATAAACTTGATGATAGTGCACTAAACAATTAGATTTACAGCATAATATTTGCTGATTGTGCATGCTAATTTGTCACTAATTTATATTCGGTACTCCTGCATGTAAATAGAAAAAAATAAATAGCCTAATTCGATAATTTACCTTCTACTTAATGTCATCCTTAAAATTAAAGGACATTTACATAACACGCGACTCTTACATATTTACATATATAACATCTAAACTTTAATTTTTACATTTATACCATTCAAAGTTTTTCATCACGTTAAGAAAAACACCATTTTAACTTTAAAAAGATGAAATACACATTTTCATGTAGAGAGGTGGTGGTCTTGTAAAAATTGAAATTTAGGTGCTGGATAAATAAATATATAAAAATTGAGGGGCATGCAAGTAAATCTTCTTGAGATTAAAACTAAACTAATCGATTATTGCCAACAAATTAAATTTTCGGCATAGTTTCGCTGTTATACACAACATTTAAAAAATTACATAGCAATACTTTATTGTCCAAAATGATGGTTTGGCAAGATTTAACCTACACCCACCTTCAATCTAAAAAATTATTACATCATGACTTAGCATGCAAAGCTGCTTGTGGAGTACAATTCTGTGCTCACACGTGGAAGGTTGACTCATCTACACAAAAAATGAAAAAAATAAAATAAAACGAGCGACCCGGCCCGACCGATGCGTTACAGAGTCTAAGCAAATATTATTGTGTTATTTATCATTGTCGTCATGTTATATGAATATTCTCTCGTGTTATTCTGAATAAGACATCAATAACACATTAAATAACACATGAATAAGGCAACAAATATTCAAAATAACGCGAGGGGACATTCCTATGACACGAAATATTCCTAAACCCTCAATAACACATTAAATAACTATTACTAATAAATATAAATTATGACATCTAAATAAATTGTTTTTCTTCTATAACACACTAATAACAAATTAATAACACAATAATAACACATAATAACATAAAATAACACATAATAACACAATTATACTCCCTAACCTGCGGTATAACACGGGAATATTCTCTCTGTGTTATATCACAGGTTATAACGTCATCCCACATGTTATACAACGCCCTATAACACTCCCCTAGCATGTAGTATAACACGCATGAAATATTCCCCATGTATTATACCGCGGGCTAAGGAGTTTATAATTGTGTTATTATGTGATATTAGTTTGTTATTAAGTGAGGGCACATCAATAACATATTAATAATGCCAAATATATTCAAAATAACATGGATGAATATTTTCATGCGATGAAATATTTCTATAATGCATTGATCGGGCCGGTTTGCACGCTTTCATTATTTTTTTCATTGTTTATGTAAATAGGCCGGTCTTCCAGAGATTGGACCACGCAAGCAACTCTACATGCGGAGTCCTGATATAATAATTTTTTCTCAAATCTGGAGCTAGATTCGTTAAACATACACTAAAATATTAAGTGAATCATGACGCATAAAAAACACGAGAAATATCCCCAACCATATCATCCATAAAAATGAAATATAAAAAAATATATAAAAACTTAGATAGCATTCGCATTTAGATATTTAACACCTAAACTTCAAATTTTTCATACAACATACCTTACCAATGCATGAAACAATGTATTTCATTTTTTTTAAGTTAAAACAGCGATACTTTTTATATAATATTAGGCATAGAAGATGGTTTTAAGCTAAGCTAAGAATGAAAACTGCAACTCTCGTCCCTGTTTCTGATTTGATGCATCTTTTCTTTGTACATTCTATTTAGGTTCATGTTTTAATCGCTGTCCCTTGTGTATATTAACATGTCATCCAACAATAGCAATAATAGCAAAAGATGTCAATGAACTAACACAAGAAAAAGGAGCTTTAAAAGGGCATAATTTATCCACATTGAAAAAACCAAGTAAATAAATCAAAATTTCAGTGTTCAGCACAATTTATCAAGTTTGAAGTAAGCTGTTATAAAAAAAAACAATATATTTATATGAATATGCAATCAACACATATATACACACTAAACACAAACATAAATACCTAAAACAAAGAAAAAACATGGACATATATGCACATTTTTATACATGCGAACACAATCAAGTAATGATCAAACCAAACAATCAAAATTCTCATTTGAATAAACGAGCATAAAAAATCAACCTTGAACAAATAATTATGGAGTTAAACATAAATAACAAACTAAGGCGCCAAGCTAAATTGACAAGTGCTGATAAAAAAAAAAAGTATAAATTATGAAAACCTTCATAAAATTCTGCAGCTTTCCAAACAAGATTATTAAAGAAAACAAAATGTCATGCATGATGTCTACAATCTTTCATATTGAAGGTACAGATTGAATTGCAGCATTAATATTATGCCCACTATTATTTGCACTTTTAGTGATGCAAATAGACATGTGTTATAATATACAGGGAGCCAGATAAAAGGCATATACTTGTCTCATCTTATGCACAACAGATTATATCAAAAACAAATAAAAATAGCCCATCCAGTATACCGGATCATTTATCTTATGAAATTGGGCTGAAAAGAAGCATAAGAAGATATATTTTTCTAAAGAACTCAACCATCGAGTGCTCATAGAATACCCACAAGGAAAAAAAAGGGCATTTACATAGATACCACCCAATTCTGTGTTTACATATCCAACCTAAACTTTATTTTTACATTTATAAGACCTAAATCTTTCACATTACATAAAAAATACTGCTATTTTAGCTTCTAAAAAGTGAAATCCACCTTTTCATGCATAGTTTAGGTGGCATCTATCAAAGAATTGATATTTTGGTGTTAGATATGCAAATAAATAAGAATTGAGTGGAGTGGATGTAAATCTTCCAAAAAAAAAAAAGTTATACCGAGTAACTAAATATAACGTTCATCAGTCTATAATAACATAAAACATACAAAAATAGGAATCCCCAAGTTGTTTTTGTTTTTGGATGAAAAAAGTGAAGGAAAGGAATCCAGGTTAAAAAAATTTTGAGTGAATATAAATTTGTAGCCATCGACTTGAAATCACTACTTGTCCTAGCAAACAGAATTGACCATCAAATAAATAAAAAAAGCATAACCAAAATATCAGTTTAATGGAAAGTAAGTTTATATACTTTCCCCTGCAAATATTTGCACCCATAACTTGCATTTGAGGCTCTCTAGAGCCAGCAGAGGGAGCATCATCAGATATTATCTGTCAAAAAAAAGGCCAAAATTCTCAAAAAATGGATTAATTCCATCAAATAAGAATAATTTTTTTTAAAAAAGGGAAAAAAATAAAAAACAAATCCGGACCGTGACAGGCTCCTGCTCCTAGCAGCAGGGTTTGGTTTCTTCGGGCTCTTGCCCACTACTTTGTCTCGAGGCTGTACCGATAACAGTTTTAATTGAAGGATGAATAGATTAGGGAATAAATTTAGACGTGTATTTATTTACATATAATCCTGATCTTTAAAATCTATATCCTTCTAAAATTTAGGGATGTTTTAACATACATACCATGAATTCACATGAAATTATGTGTCTAATATTTCCATCATTGTATTTGTTTACATAAAATACTTATCTTTAAATCACAATAAAAACAACAATTACATCAATTTATCCGAAATAAATCTTTAGGGCTTTTTACATACATAGCACCCAATTCTTATGCATTTACTTATCTCACACCCAAACTTTATTTTTACAAGTTAAGCACCCTACTTATAGGAAAGTGTAATCCACCATTTCATACAACTTTTCAAACATAGAAAAAGGTGCTTAACTTGTAAAAATCAATATTTAGGTGTGGAATAAGTAAATGCATAACAATTGGGTGCTATGCATGTAAATTTCCCTAAATCTTTTCAAATCATTTAGACAGCTGTTACATACATATAAGCAACTGGAGCATTTACATAAATACCACACAATTTTTATGTATTTACATATCTAGCAACCAAACTTCATATTTACATGAAAATCTTTAATATCACATCAAAAATTACAGTATCACGTACATTGTAAAAGTGAAATACGCCACCTTTTCATTCATAAGTTTATCACACAAAAGTGTTATGCATGTAAATATGGAAGTTCAGGTGTTACATATGTATAATACATCAGAATTGTGTGTTATGCATGAAAATTTCCCTTAAAAATTAACGGTGGTAGACATGTAATACATAGAAATTCTGTGGTGGGTATGTAATCTCTAACATTTGACTTACAGAAGTTACTGGGGATCTGGATCTTGCTCGTGATCTGCAAAAAGGTCCAGAAACAACTGAATTCAATATCCACTATGTAGCCTTACTCGTTCATCCAAATTCCTCCACGCCACTTCCACATCAAAGAATACCATAGAGAAGAAAAAAACTCATAAAAATCCCTGACTTTCAGCCTATTTACTTGATCATTATAATGAAAATTAATGAAAATTTACCATATGGAAATCCAGCGAACCCAACAAAAAACATAATAATCTAGTTTGTACCAAACACAGATCCCCATCCAGACTCTCCAGCATTCTTCATTAAAAAGTCTCCCTTATGGGCGTCCAACTAATAAAAAGAGGCCTATTATGCGCCCATAGGCCCCCTCTTATGAAAATGTTACCTCAAACAAATAAACATTTGTAGGCAATTCCACAGAATCCAATGAAGTTCCTAGCATGCAATCCCCAGATCGCTGCATAAGCCCAAATCTAGAAAACAAATAAAGCAAATTTAAGAAGAAATGATAGTGAGATTTTTCTTGATATTTACTTAATCATGGCATGCCATCCAAAAAGCAGATTTCTCAAAGACTATTAGCGCAGCCACAAAATATAATTTCAGGGTGGGACACCTATATTACTAGAGGATAAAATTTTTGTTTGAATGAATCTCAGAGCCTTCGAATGAGTAAAATGACAAAATAGTCCCCTTACTATTCACATGTGGCTACTTTAATCCCAAAGGCTATAAAAATGTTAGTCCTTAGACACTTTTAAAATTGGTTAAAATAGTTTCCAGGAAAGACTATTTGTCCCTTAATCCCAGAGTCTATAAAAAATAAAATTGGTTGTCAATTATTGTAATATGGGCTGAAATAATCCAAATAAATGACTATTTTAGCCCCTTTTAAAAGAGTCCGGAGACTAAACTGATAGCTTTATAAACCCTGGGACTTAAATCTAAAATGACGCCTAGTAAAATGCGGTGGACCATTTTGACACTTTCTCGAATTACTCAGATAATTTCAATATGTAATAGTTTTCATAATATTGCACTCATCTCGAAGTAAATCTAAGGGCTGTGAGACCCATCCTAATGACTTTTTTATCAGGATAATCTGACACATAATTTCCGAGTGCAAAAGAAATCAGAAAGAGAAAACTAGGCTGGGCGAAAAAAAAATTTATGGTATAGTAGAGCAAATGCTTCCAGAGAAAACAATTTATCTGAAAGCATGCCGGTGATAAACGGATGAGATGGATAGATCGCTAACACAATCATGACAGCATTGTAGCAATAATGTGCTGATAATCCAACCATAAGGCAGATGATAAAATCCGATAAAATAGGAAATATTGGAATTTAGATATCTTTACAAAGAAAAATAAAACAAAATTTCAAAAAGGCCCTTTGAATGTTTACTAGAAGTTCATCTGTTTGTTGATTATTGTAAAAAACTCGAGAAGTTTATATATGATGCTTCGCAATGATAAGTGTATGATATCGATGAAAAAAGATCGAAGGAAATCAAGGACACATAGAAGTTCATTACAGTTTTCTGTATTTATAAAGCCCTTCAAACCATTGCAAATAAAAACGTTTTAATCATAATGTAAAACATCTCTGCGGGAATTTTAAAATTACAGCATATAAACCAAAAACTTTCCGAGAAAACCGTGCAAATAGAAACACATGGGAAGCTTGATGTAATTAACACCCCAAAAAAAACCTGACACGTTTAAAAATAGGTTATACTAAACTAATACTCAATATCCTAATCAACTCTTCGAGAAGAAAATAAGTGAACAGATTACAACTCTTATGGGATTAAGTTCAACTGTCAATATTAAGACTCCTGCGGGCTTAGATGTAAGTAAACTTATTACACATCCCGATGTATGAACAAGCAGTAAAAGAAGATACGAAAAGGATTGGTTTTGCTCTTTGTATGATAGCATAAAAACTCAAGTTCTAATATAAAATTTTCAAAATTAAAATAACAAAGAAAATAAATAAATGAAAAAAAAAGTAAACAGAAAAATTAGTTATTTGAATGTATAAAGAGTTAAAAAATGTAAATGCTAATGAGGAAAAATATGTAATCTAGAAAAACATTTGCTCTAATCATTATAATTATAAAAGAATGCAGTAAAAGAAAAGAGTGATAATTAGTAAAATCAATGCAAAAATGATATCTTAAATTTTCCGATTTAACACAATCTCCAATTGTAAAAGATCAACCACCATAGTCAACGTTAATTTAGCTAGTAGGGAACATTAAAAAGGCAAAAGAACATACCCCGATAAAGAATCTTTTGACCCGGAACGAGAACGAGAGGAAACAGATCTAGATCGAGATTTGGAATGAGATCGCCGTGCAGATTTAGACTTAGGAGACTTGCTGTATGCAAATTGAAATATAATAAGTTGTCAATCAACCTCGGTTATTTTTAATTTTAAATGTGAGGGAACGTGTAAAAGAAAATGGGCATTTACATACATACAACTCAATTGCTAAATTTTGCTTTTTATATTTATACCACCCCAATTTTTCATATCATTTCAAAATAGACACCATTTTAACTTAAAAAAAAGGGAAATACACATATTTTATGCATAGCAAGGTGGTATGTATGTGTAAAAATTGAAGATTAGGTGTTAGATATGTAAATACATTAAAAAATTGTGGTATGTAAGTCTACTAAAAAAATATGAAATACATGTAAACTTGCATCTAACCTCCTGCTACGGCTCCTGCTATGACTGATACTACGGCTACGGCTTCGGCTTCGACTACGGCTTCTAGACATGCTTCGCTTGGAATCATATTCCCGCACCTGTAGTAATATATTATGACAGCTTCAGGCAAAAACTTGACGAACTCAAAATAGTCCTGTGAAAGAACTTACCCTTATATATGATCGAGAAAATGCATTCCGAAACTCGGAATCATCAAGCTTCCTTATCTAAATCAAAATAAAACAAAGAAATTATTATAAATTCTATAAAAAAAAAAAATTAAAAAAGAACTCTAAAAGCACAGGTCAACATATAGAAGCAAAGACCAACAAAGAAACGGTGCTACGCCTGCTTTAAAATAATACAACTTACCGCATACTTCATATCCTCATTGTTTGTATAGTCAACAATACCAGTAGTGCCTGTAAAATCCATGGTTTCACTAAAAAATCATTTTCTAAAGGATAAAATTGCATGATTAAGAATAATACAACTTGCCGCATCTTCATAAATAGTTCGTATGAAGGGAAAACACCATTTAAGTAATAAAATGATATATTTTTTGGGAAATCCAAAAAGACTTCTAGGTACGCATTGAAGTATCAAATATTGCATGATCCAATTTATCTCAAGTTAAATTTAGTTCTTAACATTCGCTATGAGATGCAGAATTCCTTGATCCAATCTTTCTCATTAACATTGATGATAATAATGAGTGGTTATTGGAGAGATGTATTTAATATCTCAAATGTCAGACAAATTAGTGTTTGAAACCGAATATTTAGCACAGGTTTATGTAGAAAAAGCATCAAAAGTAAAAAAAAAAAAACATGGGCCGGGAATTATGCCAAATCAATAAAGGTACAAAAGCTTTAATTGCTGTAATAGAAATTGAAGATGAGTTGAGAGGCTATATATGTAGCGTGGAGAAAAATGTCAAAAGTTAACTTAGGCTATGTTTGGGGCCGTGTATTTCGCGCGGTGCGGCCCCAAACCGCAAAACTGATAAAAAAAATTTTGTTTGATGAGGCGTTTGGCAGCCTCCCGCCACTAAAATAGGCGGAATGCAGGCCGCAGGATCGACCCCGCGGCCCGCATAACCGATCAGCGTTTACCTCATTTGCCCCGCGCTCCCAGTCTCTACTGATCGAGCAAGTGATTTCTCTCATGAACGAGAGGCAAAATGAGCAAGGCTGAGGTGATGCATTACTCAGAAGGCGGTGGATGCAGCAGCTGACGGAACAACATGTGATTTTCTCCTTCTTGTACTCAGCCTCAACCTCCTCCTCGCCGGCAGCTGCAGAGACTGGGTTAAGGGCTTGCGGCCATGGTGATGAGAAAACAAAGCATGGGAAGAAGGAATCGCTTGGGAACGCGAGCCAAAGGAGTAGAAGATCCACCGAATCAAGGATAGGATAGAGATCCCCAGGTCCTCTGATTCAATGGATTGATAAACTTCCGGATCAATAACGCTTCAATTGGCTAACAAAGATTTGGGAGAATGGAATGAAAAATGAGTTAGGAAATACCAAATCAAGCTCTGTTGTTCCTATTCAACTAATTAATTTTTATTTATACTTTTATTTCCTTAGCTTCCCTACAACGTAAATGGACCCTGCATCATTCCAATCTTGTTAGCATAATCGGCTACTGTTCAAAGGGATGTGAGAGGCTCTTTGTTTATGAGTATATGCCGCATGGAAGCTTGGATGATCACTTGTTCTGTAAGCATTTTTTATTGCTTTTTATTTGTTTAATTTTTGTTAAATCCTCATTTTGCATAATTTGATACCGTCGTAGATTAACATTATAAATCATTGTAATCAATATGTTTCCTGAATGACGTAAAACTCCATTAGCTTCTCTTTTATGTGAATTTGATAAGAATTTGATTTTCTTCACTTGTTAAGCATATTTCATATGCAGTTCTTGTGTCTATATTATGAGTACCAAAAAAATGCTTTAAATTTTGTTACTGAAATTGCAGCAGAGGATAATGGTGATGAAGGAACAATGTTTGTCTGTTTCGAAATGAATTTCTGCTTCTGAAGTATCAAATATGTGATTGTCACAGTTCTGTTTTAAACAGCTTTAGTAAACGAGAGTATAATGATCATTTCTTCAGAAACAGCTGTGAGACAGCTGTGTTACAGCTGCGACAAAATCTGTTTTAAACAGCTTTAGTAAACGAGAGTATAATAATCATTTCTTCAGAAACAGCTGTGAGACAACTGTGTTACCAAAAAGCTGCGACAAAAAAACTGTCAGCTTCCCCGTAGCAGCTTCCTGGGGCAGCATAGCAACAGCTGAAAAACTGAGAAGCTGCAGCTTCCCCAAATAGACCCTTGGTCGTTTTAGTATTTGAAAAGAAATAAAACTTGAAAGAACAATATTTTTTGCTTATTATATTACAATAATTTAATGTGATAATTACATAGTTCATTAGGTTTCTATAATGCGATCATGACACTTCTTAGGCAATTAATAAGGCAACGTTAGACACATTACAAAAAAACCTTATTATTGTAAGCTCTCATCTCATTCTTCCTCTCCATCAATTTCTATTAGCAGCACTGGTGCTTCAAGCATTATTTGGTCTTGCGCTTTATTATTTGATTAAAAATATTAGGAAATTAATACTTTTCTTTGTCATTTTTAATTTTATAAATGCACTATCATAATGAAAAACGTGTACTTTTAATCTCAAGAAATTAAATCTACATGTTTAAATGCCACATTTAACTATTTCAACCAATGTTCGTCCAGTCTGTTTCAAAAATTGTATTACGGCCAAGACAAAAAGCAGGATGAGATTGATGAATGAGAATCATCAATGTGAAATCATCTTATGTGAAACAATTATCAACGACTACAATGATATTAATAATTTATGAAGAAAACAAAACCTCTATACAACAAAAATGCTAAATACTTGCACAATGAATAAGGCATTTTTGCATACTTCGGTATAATACAACAGCCTAACTATGTAAAATTCATTCCGATGCGAAAATTCAATTCAGGGAAGAAAATTATATGTGGAAAAAGGATCTCCAGGTTAGAAAAGACAGAAACTGCAAAACACAAATATCCAGAAAAGTTGCAATTCAAATTTGAACCATGAGAACTACCAAATAATGCCGGGAGTGTCTTTAGGTGCATGGAAAACCTAGCAAATGGGACACCAATTCCAATAGAAAAATTGAAATTATCCAAAATAAAGAGAGAAGTTCTAGATTTTTTAATCCATTTAGCTGATGGCTAACCATTCTAAATATCAGATAAACTTGAAAATTACACGCATCTGTAACATATATATATATATATATATAATCATTTCAAAATGTCAAAATAAGTACATCCGGTTCTATAGGGTGGTTCAAATTTTAGGGAAAAGGGGTAGACTTAGAGAAGAGCTCACCACCACCATCACGAAAAACTTGAGAGAAGCAGACATCGCCAGCTCGACGCATGTGATCCTGATCATGTAGAAAAGGGAGAGAAGGGAATTGTAAGGATACATTAAATGAGAATTAAACAAAAACAGCAATAAAGTAACCTTCAAGTCTTGCCAAGATGCAGAAGGAGGTAAACCAGTCACCAGAACTGCATGACAGTGATAAATTACATCCAAAATGTGTACAATTTAAATTAAAAATAACAACTGAAAAATAGAGCCAAACTAAGCAAACCTCGATAGTCCGAACGCCTAGAAACACCACGGCTACCACTATAACTGCTATTGCGATCATGTGATGAAGAATGACCTCTTCCACCATGCGCCAGTTCTACCTGCTCGGATCAGTAGATATCAGAGAAAATTGCATGCCAGGTGTTGGAAAATAAAAAAAAAGGAAAATTTACATTCATAGCACACAATGCTTGTGTATTTTATTTACATGTCACACCTAAACTTTCATATTTACATACATAGCACTTTGGTGCTTTAAACATATGCATGAAAAGGTATATTTCAGATTTAAAAAATAGTAATAGTGCTATTTTTGATGTGATATTAAAGGTTTCAGTGCTATGTCTTCAAATATAAAAGTTCAGGTGTGGCCTACAACACCACTAAAGTAATAAAAGAATACTTACGCAAATTCTCACAAAAAAAAAAAAAAAATCATCAAAAAGCATACTTACACGCAATCTATGACCGTCAAAATTATAGCCATCACGGCCACGAATAGCATCTTCTGCATCACGGGCATCATCAAACTAAAAAAAGTTGAATAATTATGAAAATCATGAATCCTGGAGCAAGAAAACTATGATATTCTACACAGTCTAACAATTGAGTGTAAGCAATCTCTGCGGTGAGATAATTGATGATTGCTCTTGCATTACCTCAACAAAAGCATAACCTGGTGGTCTTGGGGGAATCTTCAGATCAACATCCACAATATGTCCGTACTGCATGAACATACTTCACATCATCACCAAAACATAAACAATAAACAACATTCTATGATCAAATTTGGGTAGAATGTAGATAAAATTAACGTTTAAAAATGAATATTTATCTCCTTTACATAAACAACTTTCATGTCGCATGCGAAAGCTGTCTCAAACTTTCTGTACTAATTATTCTCACAAAAATAGAGAACTTTTGCAAACTGGAAGCATAATAACCGATCAAATATAACATCATAATCAATAGCCTTATCTCAACTATATAAAGTCAACTTTATGAATCTAAATCAAATATTCATCCTTGCTGAGTATTTGTAATAATGAAACATGTCAAGTTTGGCATGTGCACTTACCCCGACATTATAAAAAATAAACAACAACAAGCTTTTATCCCACTAAGTGGGGTCGGGCACATGAATTCTTTCTCTCTATTGTGTCCCATTGAGCGTCATATTTTGATTTAATTCTAATAGATTAAGATAATTTTATACAATATGCCCAGGTCTTTTTTAGGACAACCTCCGTCTTTCTTAACATAAGCCAAACATAAAATATCTACTCTCCAAACGGGATCATCCAATGGTCGGCGTTTAATGCGACCAAACTATCTAAGACGATTCTCTCTAATCTTGTCCGCCACTGGAGCTACACCAACCGTATCACATGATAAAAAAATAAACAATAAACAATATTCTATGATAAGATTTGGATATAATGTAGATAAAGCTAACATTAAAAAATGAATATTTATCTCATTTAAAGAACTTTGATCTCGCATGCGACAGTTGTCTCAAACTTTCTATACTAATTATTTTCAAACAAAGAGAGACAACTTTTGCAAACCGTAAGGATATTAACCAACCAAATATATCATAATAACCAATAGCCTTATCTTAACCATATAAAGTCAAATTTATGAAACCAAATCCTACATTCATCCTTGTTGAGTTTTGCAACAAAATTTTGTAACAATGAAACGTGACAAGTTTGACATATGCACTTACCCAACATGGAACACACCATCTACACGTCCCATCAAAAGAAGTGTAAAAAAAAAAAAGAAAAAGTAATGAACATGCATGCTCGACACTCTTGACTAAAAATTTAACTTTGGATGTACATTATGTAGATAATTTAACTAAATACATCTTTCTTTTTCATTTTAAAATATGTTATTTAAATAATTTAATATTTTCAAAAAACCAATTTTTTTTTTTATTTGCTCTATTTTATTGTGAATTTTTTTTACTTACTTTCACAAGAGCTATTTTTCAATTTAATCTAAGAATTTATAATATCATACGACAATTTCTTCTTAATTGAGTTTATGGTATTTAATAAATTTAAATATATTTTCAATTTTATGAGCGATTGAGATAAATTTATTGTTACATAAGTTCATTTCATATTTATTTATTTCACATAATTATTATTTTTTTATTTTACATTTTAAAGCTCTAATATTATAATGATGTGTTTAATGTGTGTTGTCTTAAACTTTCAATCATGATGTGTCATGTGTCCATGTACTCGTGTTCTTATTAGTGTAAAATATTGTATAAAAGTTCCTTTGCATGCATGTATGTATATTTTAAATAGTAATATTAAACATGCTAAAATGGCACATCATATGTCTTTATTTTGCTTATATAATAATATTTGTAAAAATTTTCTCCATCATGTTAACAGGACTGATAAATATGCAATGTAAATGCATAAGATCATGCACGAGCTTTAAAAATTATCAGGAAGTTCCTTGAACAAAATGAACTTGTTTAAAAAGCAAATATTCAGTGGTTCCAGGAAATCTATAATTTTATCTTTTCTTATTACTATTCTTATTACAAAATATGCTTTCAAAAATCGCTTAAAAAATAAGCCAAATAAATCACCAAGGAATGATTCAAATATGAATCTATGATACGCGTTAATGGCAAGACTACAATAGCTACAATGAAAACATCAATGCTATAATTCTTCTACAGAGTGCATTGATTAAATATCGGAGAAACAGTCCAACAGTAACCACCATGTCCAGCAGTATTGCATTTCAAGGAAAACAGGCCAACTCCATCCTTGAAAAAAAAAAAGGCAAAGGGCATGCCACCGCTCCATATGTTGCTTAACCTAGAAAATCACAACGAACATCCTATCCTCAAAATGTTTAACTTAAACCACTCAATAATAATAGTAATTTGACATTTATCGTAACAACATTATTAGCAATTTATAAAGAACTCATAATCCCACACAATAAATAAAAGAGGGGTGTAGAGAATAGAGACATAATGCAGTTATTGAAATCAAGCATTTTTCGCATCGCAGCAGCTTAGAAAAAAACATACAACCAGATAAAAAAAATTTACATGAACTTTATTCAGGTTCTCCACGTTTCCAATTAAAATAAGAAAATTTACATACATTCCACTTAATTCCTATGTATTTACATATCTAACATCTAAACTTCGATTTTTACATATATGTCACCTTACTAATACACGAGAACGTGCATTCCACTGTTTAAGAATTAAAATTGCAGTATTGTTTATGTGATATGAAAGATTTGGATGGTGAACATCTTAAAAGTGATGTTTCGGTGTTAGATATGCAAATACCTAGTAATTGGGTGGTATCTATGTAAATGCGCCTCTAAATTAATCCTGTACCAGCAATCTTGGTAGAAGGGACAAAGTGGGTATGTGGATACCAGTAAAAGATTAATAAAAGCAACAGCAGAAAAGAAGTCGGAAATTAAGATAAAAACAAAAAAGGAAAGCATGAAAATAATGATAGAAATAGAATTATCATCATTTTCAAGAAAGAATAGCAGGAGAAATAAACATAAATTCAAAGAAACAAAATTAAGGAAAATGTGTACATAAGGAACAGGCATCATGATCAAGTTTATGGTTTAGGATGGTAATTGGCATCATTGATTCTTTATGACTACACATTAGAATTTGAAGCACAAATTTGAACCGGCTGATAAAAACTAATAAAACTATCATTTTCAAAAATGAATAGCAGGAGAAATGAGCATGAATTCCAAGAGATCAGCATAAAAATCTATCATAACTTACTGAACAAATCATCATGATCCAGTTCTATGGTCAAGAGGGGCAATATAGCACCATTGCTTGCATATGACCCAAAATATGTGCCAACTTTGAACCATCCAAACTTTTAAAGATTCAATTTTAAGTTGAACGTCAATCTACACCCATGATCAATTGGGTTGGATTAATAGAATCCAAATTGTCATCTCCCAAAAACTCAACTCATCTCAAACTTGAAGTTTTTAGGCACCCTGGACTCATCTCAAGCCCTAAGTCATTGGAGAGTTTGAACTCATCTCTGGACTTGAAGTCATTAAGAGCCTAAACTCAACCAACAAACTCGCACCTGAAGTTAAGCTACACATTAGCACAAAGTTAAGCTCCTAATAATTTTATTAGAGAAGCTTCATTCTCAAGTATGTCATCCTCATTCAGAGCTCATAAAAAACCTCTACATGCTTTAATAACTAAAGGCTCTATGTAATTTTATTTGCATGTTGTCATACTGTTGCAGTACTGAACACCGGTCTAGGCATATAAATAAAGGGCTAGAGGATGAGTATAGGACACTAAGTCTAATCCTCACATCAATTTGTACTTTTGGCACCCTTTAACCTCTCTCTCTCTCTCTCTCTCTCTTCTTTCTTATTTTGTCATTTACATTAATAGGATTCTGGTAACAACCAAGAACTCATAGAATTCTGCCATACACACGTCATACATAGGACACAAAAAAATATTGTGCTTTTCGTAAAGATCATAATCATGGCATGATATTAACATTTGTAATCCTATCGAAGATCATAGCCATAGAATGACAAATTACTGACCTCTTTGTAATCTTATCGAAAAACTTATCATAAAAGGAAACTCAAACGGTTTGAGGAAGATAAAAAAATGTGTAAGGAAGAAATGAACTAGCCCGAACATGAGTCATAAAAATAGCAATAAACACCCTCTAAATTGTTTGTCATAAAAAACTTAGGATGTATTTGTTTCGGCTTTGGTTGTACTAAATCTCAGTTCAAAAGTTGTTGCACAAAATCTGTTGTTTAGAAACTGATGTTTTAGAAATTGATGAACTATCTGAAAAATACAATTTTTAAAGTGTTGTATGTGGACCAATATCTGTAATACCAATCAGTATAAATTATGTACATATCATATGTATTTTCAATGTATGCATATATCAAAGACCTAAATATTCATTTTTCCATGCATAACATTCAAGTCTTTAACATTTTATTAAAAAAACCACCATCATTATGGTTTTACAAAACACATCAATAAAAACTTTAACAAGACATCAATAAAGACGGCATTAAAACATGATTAAAAACTTCAGCAACACAAGGAACTTCAACAAGACAAGGGATATAAATTTGTGCAAGCAAGTAAAGACTTCAGCAACACATGGATAAATTTGTAATACATTGTTGTTGTAAAAACAAATGGTCAAACAAGTCTTCCTAAACAGTAGATGGATATAAATTGGTAAAAGATGCTCAAATTCTGAAATCTGAGAAACAAAGAATGTAAATATATGCGAACTATTTTCTCAAATGTTTGCCAGGTCATTTTAGTTAAAAATCCTTGCTATAAAACAGCAGGACATTTTAAGTATGAAGAAAAATAGTTTATATTATTTTAAAATGCTCATCATAGCATGTACAATTTTCTAATTCATGGTTCAGTCCACAGCCTTCTATATTATAGCATTTACTTGAGTTTGATTTATCAGCTATCTGTGCCTTATCCCCCTAAGTCTACATTTGTGCTTTATTGTCCTTATGAAATCTGGGGGATGATTAGGAAAACCATGACCATATCACTACATATTGCCTCGTTATGAAGGTTGTAATGCATATGTTGCCCAAATGGGGTTTTTTCACCCCGGAGGATAAAATGCATAACAAAACTCATCTTCAGCACATATAAAATTTGAGGGCAACTGTAAATAAGGATGGAGGAAGGTGTGGAAGCTGAATAAACGAGAAGTTCTCACCTTGAGAGCAACCGAAAACGGAAGAAGCTCTTGCTTGTGGAAAGAACAGGATGCAAGAACTTCTCCTTCGGCTCTGACAAAGAGAAAGAGAGAATGCGAGGACTTCTCATTCAGCTCGGTGAAGCTCTCTCTTCAGGAAAGAGTCTACGAGATCAAGAGGTTTGCGACCAGGATCGAGGGGTTCACGAACGGGATCAGGGGCGCTAGACAAACGACTTGAGGACAACAACGGAAGAAATAACAAACACTAGGTCTCGAAATAGTATTTGTGTCCGCATCACTATTAAACTGCGGAACAACGTTCGAGAATGGAAGCGCAGAAAAATCGCAACCAAAGAGGGGGAAAAACTTTATTTTGAACAGATCGGAGTTCAAAACTCCGAAACAAACGAGCTCTTAGTTAAAAAGGGATGTGTAATTTAAAAAACTATGAAATTCATTTAATTTTTAAAAAAATGGATTCTAAGAAATTCAATTTTTCTTTGCAAAAAAAAAACAATTTAGAATCTTTGAATAAAATTGTAGTTTTAAAAATTTTACTAGTAAATGTTTGTTTATTAACCCTCATTTTTTAATTTTGGTGGTAGATGAACTGTTTCAAACAGTGATTGACTAAATATTCACCAAATGCATAACAAAAATATTCACCAAATGCCTAAAAATCAAATCTACTTCTTAAAACACATAAAAGGTTAACAAAAATATTTGTCAACGACCCTTTAAGTTAGGTTATCCATTATGATACGCTTTTTTTTTAATTAAATTAAAAGTTAGGATTTAGGGTCTATTTGGAGCAACTGCAGTTGTTTGAAGAAGTAGTTGTGAAGCTGATGCAAAAGAAAATGTAGTTCAAAAAACTACGGTATCTGTTATAAATTTATTTTACCTTCAAAAAGCAATGCAACTAACATACATAAATAGCTATATAAATATAAATAATCGTTAGCTCCAACATTATTAATGATTACGGGTATGTTTGGGCAGTTGTTGTTTTTGAAGAAGGGATTGTGAAGCTACTTCATGGGGAAGTTGCTGTTAAAAAGTTGTTGATAACGTAGCAAGATGTTTGTTTGGATGATCTGTTGTACTGCAATTATTTCTGAGAAAAAAAATGTAATGCCCTTGCAGATAGCACAAAACTATTATGTGTATCTCGCTGAAACAATAGTAGTAAAATCACACGGATCTTATGTATTTACATACATAGCACATGGATCATATGTAATCACATAAAAAAAATATCATGTAGCACACATCTACATGCATACCATACAACTCTTAAGAATTTATAAATCTTACACCTAAACTTTTATCTTTACGCATAAAAAATGAAATATAATTTTAGCCAACACCACAGTAACTCCCACCAAAAACATAACAACAAAACAAAAAAATTTCAAAACAGTGAATCGATCTAGAAATTCCAAGGACATAGCATGGAATGCACTCAAAACAATCATGAAAACAAATTGATTCAAGCTCATAGATAAAAGCAAATCAAAATTCTGTGAGGACGCAAAGCCACATATTAAATAAATTCTAAACACAAAAAGACTCACATAAATACATACTGAATAATCGAAGGAAACAACACAAACAAGGAGTTTCAGCCAGCAACATGTGACAGAGATCAAAGAAAAGATCGAATATGGAGGGGGGTAAATAAGAGGAGATAATACGGGTAAATATTCAATTTCCATGAGCAGCAACATAAAATCGAATTGAAGCCACGGACAAGGCCAGAAAGCAGAGGTCCTTCTCGCCGTTCCAAAACCATGCCTTCGGCAACACGATTTTCCTTAAAGCCACGCAAACAGAGGTCTCCAAATGCACCCTCAGGTGCTTTACAAAACGGGAAGCAACGAAAAAGCCGCCCCAAACAGGACCTAAAATAACAAATCTTCCATGAACATGCTTTTTATAATGACAAGAGATGCAAATCATAAGCAAATGTGCCCAAAGCGCAATATAGAAATTGTTATAATACACATCATGGCGTGGCACACCCCTCACACCATTTTCATGGCAAAGCATAGAGGGTCAAAATAGTGCATACTATTTGTGCTAGGCATAGGCAATAAAATATAGGCCCCATAGCATAAATTATATTTAATGATTTTAGTTTTAATACTAATATTAATAATATTTGCATTTCATTTATTATTTTTATTTTATTTTAATTAATATTTATTAGGGTATGTTGAGAGTCAATAGTACATGCAAAGCACATGATTAGCTTAGACGAATACAAACATGGTTGACGCTAGCAATCAAAGAGGTGAACCTTTCACGGGCCCAATCTCCATGCTATAGGCAAGCCATTCACCCTCCCAGCTTGGACAAGGGAAGGTGATGCTATCAAATGAGCATTAAACACTCTAAATTCACATAGGAAATAACTAGCTTCAACAGAAGTTAACATTCTCAATTTTAATAGAGGGTAGCACTCTTCGCACAAAAGCTTCCACGCGCAAAGGCTTTGATTCTCTCAACTTTGACAAGTATTCTCTTGCTCTACTAAGCATAAAATTTGATAGTGATTCTTAACGCTTTTTTTTCAAAATCATTTTTTTTTTCTAGAGATTTTGCAAAACTAACCTAATTTATTTAATACATTAGTTTTGTAATTATTTGCATATATTTAATTATATGTTTATCCATAATTTTAATTGTTATTTTAAGTTTAAAATAGTTTGTTATGTCATACATTGTAGTATGGCTTGAAGAGGGAATTAACATGATGCACTATTTGCCTTTGACAAATATGATATTAATATCCCAACAAAATACACAAAACAATTGGATTTGGATGCTTATTAAATTAGTTTATCTCATAAAATTAATCATGTTTAACATTGAAACGCTAGTAATATACTGAGATGAATTCAATCATTTTCAACCTATAAGTAGTTTTTCTGTAAGTGAAGCTTCTAATTCAACAAATAACAATGATGCCAATGTGTTTTCATCTACAAAAACTAAATAAATTGGCAAGTTAGAATTGAATAATAATGGTAAATTAAACGAAATAATGCTTCTAAAATACAGAAATACTTTGTTGGTTGGAAGAATCAACCTCCCATTGAAGATTATTGGAATACACATGAAAATTTAACGAAGACTGCAGTATATCGACTTTAAGAATTAGCATAGTTCTATCTATCAAAATGCAAGTTTCTTTTGCCCACATAGGACAGATTTAACACATGAACTTCAGCCCAAATTCATGAATAAACTCGTGTATAAATTAAATCCAAATTAGAATTCATGAATTTTTATTAATTTAATTTTACAATAAGTTATTTTTTAAAAAAAATTATTTAGAAAACGTTCTTTTGAAAACCTTGTTTTAAAATTTTTATTTAAATATGGTATGTAATTTTTAATTTAAAATGGAATTTTTTTTATAAATAAAATAGCAATGATGTTTTTATATATTTTAAATTGAAATTAATTATTCCTTTATATCCTCTCCTCTCAATCTCTCCCCTCTCATCTACCAAATAATTTTTCTTCTCACAACTATATAAAATTTCTCTTTCATCCCTTGTTATTCCTTCCTGTATTCTATGTTATATCTCTCTTTTAGGGGTAATACACACATCCCAAGGCATTTCTTCTCTGGTACAAGATATACTAATTTCACCCTCTTTCTTATTTTCCCCAATAATTGAAGAGCCGAACAACCTTCCGCGTTTAAATTCCTCCAATCCTCAATTCTATCGCAACTACATGAGAAATAAAGCCAATTTCGTTAGAAGAAAAGAATAATAAAGGGGATAAAGAAGATCTGTATCTACACAGCCTTTACCAATTTTCCATGTACATTATGTTCAACATTTTAAGGAACATCGCAGCAATGCAAGCTCCAACCTATGACAGCATTAACATGGATTTCAACACTTTAGTGCAAAAAGTGATCTCTAATTATCAATATAATCACTCATTTTGAGTCAATTAAAAATTAGATTAAAAGGCATATATAGAATCAAAACATCCCAGAATTCACCTAAAACTCCACAAGGGTCATGGAAGAGTCTTTCTAAACTGTTACAGCCATGAAGGGTGATACTTCAATAACTAAATAGAAAGCCTTAATAAAAACACATATCTAAGAGGACAAGTCCGAACTTCTCTTCAAATGTTTCACTTTTTGTAATGGAGGAACAATTTTTTGCACGATAGAAACTTCCTACAGAAACCGATCCAAAGTTAGAGAAACTTTCCCCTTCACCCCAAGTCTGTGAAGCAGGAAGTTAACTAAATATAGAATTTAAGATAGTTTTAAATGTCAAGAAAGTAAATTTCAGATAGTTTTAAATGTCAAGAAAGTAAATTTCAGCGACAGCACAAGCATAAAAAGGAAAAAAAAATCCCAAACCCAAAAGCAAACAAACCCTAGAAATCCTATGAATCTCAAAGGAACATCTCTTGGAACTGAATCAAGAACAATAAAATAAATTAGCTATATAAAATATAAAAAAAAAGCTCAAAACAAAAAAACAATTTTGAAAAGAAATACAAAGAGGAAGAAAAAAATACCTTGTAAAACAAATCCTCAATTTCTCTCTCACGAATGTCGCCTGGTAGATTTCCTACGTAAATAATCCGACTCTCGCGGCTGCTCATATTTTGCTGCGATATCGAAGGAGAAAGGAAATTGAGTGTGAGTAATTTTGATTCCGTGGCCGTGAAAATCCAGCTAAGGGCTTTCTAGAAAGAGAAAGAGGGATCTTACAGGTAAAATTTCGGTGTATCAAGTCAAAATCGAGAGCAGAAAAAGAGAAAAGAAGGATGAAAGACAAGGACCGCCGCTTGGTCGCGGAAATAAGGGTTTGCGAGATAACCTTGGATGCCAGGAGAGCGTTCCTTCGATGTGGGAGTGGGGATAAGGTTAGACGTTATTCACAGTAAAAAATATTAAATCAGTATTACACCTGCATGACCAATAAAATTACGTCACGATATCTCGTGCGATAAATAAAAAAAATAACACAGTAATACGAGGAATATTTCTCATTATATTATTCATGTATTATTGTGTGTTATTCATGTGATTAGACGTTATTCACAGTAAAAAATATTAAATCAGTTACACCTACATGACCAATAAAATTACGTCACGGTATCTCGTGCGATAAATAAAAAAAATGACACAGTAATACGAGGAATATTTCTAATTATATTATTCATGTATTATTGTGTGTTATTCATATGGTTATTGTGTCCTGGGAATATTACTGGTGTTATAATAACACAACAATACATCAATAACACATCAATAACACAATAAAACATGAATAACACGGGGGAGAATATTCCCTCCTGTTACTGAGCCGCTTTTTTCTCTGTCGGGAATATTCTCAGTGTTATTTAGGTGTTATTGTGTGTTATTCATGTGTTATTATGTCCTGAAAATATTATTGGTATTATAATAACACAATAACACATCAATAACACATGAATAACACGCAATAACATATGAATAACACGCAATAACATATGAATAACACAGGGGGAATATTCCCCGTGTTACTGCGCCGTTTTTTTTCCCTGTCGAGTGGGGTGTCGTGACGTGATTTCATTGGCTACGCACGTTACTTCTATGTGCTTAGTACTGATGTAATATTTTTCTATTCATAGACCGTCATCCTTTCGATGGCATACACAAAATTACATCGGTTTGTTTGGGCCGCGGCTCTTTGAAAAAATAGCTTTGAAGCTATGAAAGTTTTTTTTTTTAATTCCACTCACTATTATAGATTTGTTTTATTTTTAAAGAGTAATCATTGTTTTTTTACTGTCACCACACTTTAACAATTTAAGTTGAAAAAAAAATAATTTTCTACTACAAAGATTTCTAAGAAAAGGTAAGAAAATAGTTCCTCAAACAAAATTATGGTAGCATTTTGAAAAACAAAGCAGACAGAAAGATGTACTTAGGAGACCCTCTCTACTCACTACTTGAATGAGGTTTTAAAATTTTAAAAATGCTTACATACATATCATATACTACTTGTATATTTATATATTTAATATTTCAAGTTTGATATTTATAGTTTTTATACATGAGAAATGAATCGTTAAGAAACTCGAGAAAATCTAACAGACAAAAGTACAAATGAATAAGGCTAAAGAGGGCCCATGGGTGAAAGACCAAGAGTCATTAGCAGAAAACTAAGGTCCACTAGCAGCATACCAAAGAACCTACTTGATTAAGTATAATCCCCTTGAGCTAAGGTTAAAGGCCGACCTAATGCTGACCATCCAAACCAAAGACCAATGTCAATCGAGCTAAGCAGAGGCACCGACCAGTTTCTCGCCACAACCTGACTTAAAAGGAAGAGTTCATCTTCGTCAGCCATCTCACAGGCATTCTTGAGATTCCTCATCAGTGGGTCGATAACTAGTCATAATGTGCTTATTTGTTCATCTTGCATTATATCTTATCAAGGAGAGAGCTACATCTCGAATTACGGTGGTTTACCCTTTGTCAGATAGTCTAGTTTTATTCTGTCGACGGGAGTTCCCCATCTAGGGATCAATAATCAACAAACAGACCACATTGCTGAGCCAATTGAGCCAAGTCAGGTTGGCCCAAAGACTATCAAAGGTCTGTTGATGACTAAAATTTAGCATAGTCTAATAAACTGACCTCAGCTGACTGAGCCAAGGTCAACTGACCTCAGTCGAACGAGCAAAGGCCAATTGACCTCAACCAACCAAGCTATAGAGTAGCCAAACCAAATGTTTATACATATAAAAAATCAAAAATATCTTGTAGCACCCCCAATAAAGCAAGGACAGAAATGTAACTTCATATATTGTACCATCTTCATACATAAATAGGAAGATCATTTCCTCAGAAAGGGCTAATCAAGAATCTAAACTACTATTCATTACTAACTATCTCATGTATTACACTCTATTCACTGGGTGTGATTCACTGATAGATTCAAAATCAACATCCTAAAGATGTAGTGAGCGTAAATCATATTATAAAAAAGAAGATGAGTTGCATAAAGAGAGGAAAACTACAATAGAGACACTACTAACATGGGGTGCACTAGGGAGTTTGTGCAGTAACAAATCTAGGAGTTGAAGGATGAGATGATGGATGCCATCAATGAGGCATTAGCTTGGTAAAGTGAGCAGAACTTTTAGAGGAAACTTCGGCACCTAATGGACGAAACCCTTTCTTGTATAAAGGGTCAGAGATTTTGACCCGACCCAGAATTACGCAGTTATTTAGTTTCCAGGACAAAAACTTGACTCGATTTCTTTAGGCGGTTAATGTGCAAAATGGATATGATATAGAATTTAAAATTGATTTATATTTCACACACTAGGAGTTCTACATATATGTACGTATCGTTTCAGGTAATATAAAGTTTTCTTTAAAACCCAATATCGATCCCACAAAGAAGTGATGTAAGAAATCCCTTAAGATAAGTTATGGTCTGCAATTATAAAGTCTTAGTTGGAATTGTAGAAAAGTTTGTTTTTTCTAAATTTACTAATTAACTATAAAATTAAAGTTAACTAAATTAAATAAAACCAAATCTAAGGAGACTAGGTAAATTTTGGAAAGTTCTTAGATAATTAAAATACATTTCCCATTGCGATGAGATTATAATCAGCGTAGGAATCAAATGTTAAAGGTTAAAATGTTGTTTTCTGATAAATAGGAGCATACATATTCCTTAACCACTCCCGAGTGTATAAAAAACATTGGCTAATCTAAAGTTAAGTTCATAATTGTATGGTTGTGCTTAGTAGATTCTAGCTTCTCACTTACATATTAACCATCTCTCTATATGACCAACTAGGGACTCTGGTTCTGAACTAAGACAAAATTGACAAAAGACTCTAGTATATCACTTTAGAATCATCAATTATATGCCCATCAAAACATATCTCCTTATCTATTTGCACTCCACCTTGAATGATTGCAACAACTCTTTCCAAAGTTAAGTGTGGTACTCACTAGTTGATGAAATCATAGCCCTCCTGGGTCATTATATTTCATAACGAATTTTAACATCATAAATGACTAGTTTGTATTGTCAATGAAGAATCGGTGAAAATATCATTATAATTTTATAAAATAAAAATAAATCTTTAAATTAATCTCATCCCACTTGATTAATTCTCATATGTAAAGAGAAATAAAGGAAAACTATTCAAAATTCATGGAGATAAAAAGAAAACACAAGATTTATATTGAAATTTAAGTCTTAACAATAAAAACTCAAACACAAATATAAATTACTTATCTTATGTCTTCTCTCTAACCAATTCCTGAAGTCTCCTTCAAGTAATCTCCAAACTTTTCTTACACAATCAAAGACTCACAAAATGAATTTACATGCCCTAAAACTCTCCCTAAAAACTCACAAAAAATCTTCTAAAACTCTTTTTTTATTCAGTCCTTGGTCTCTTTTAATAGATCACTGAAAATAACCAAGGGTCACTTCAAGCACCCCTTCATGATTTGGTCAAATTCATTGCATCTTCTAGAAAAACCATTTCTGGCGTTATAGCGCCACTCTGGGGTGCTATGTCACCCATCACGTCGAATAGTCGATGCTATGATGCCAAGGGTCGGCTCTATGACACCCATCACGTCAAATACTCGACTCTATGATTTCATATGATGCTGTGTCATTTTGCTCCAACTTGCCCTCATTTTCTCTAAAGATCAATTTCTTATACCTGAAACAAAAAACATGAAAAATATATTCCTTTAAAGTGCAATATCATAAAAAAATGTGCATAAAATGAACATTAAATGTGTATAAAAATAGGTAATTTTAAGGTGTATCAGTTGTCTTTGATCAAAGTAAAAAAGAACATAAATTAATTGTCTCCTGGAATAAGTATGCTTAAGGTGTATCAGTTGTCTTTGATCAAAGTAAAAAGAACATAAATTAATTCTCCTAGAATAAGTATGTCTCACATATCAACCCTTCCAAATTTGCTTTATTCTGAACAATCTTTTTTTATTTTATTAAAAAAATCTGCATAGTTGATTCATTAAAAGAAAAAAATAGATATTAGTTCACTCTACAATAAAAGACACAACTCTCAAAGAGATACATCCACCTGTATTACTGGCCCCCCCCCCCCCCAATATAGCCTCATAACATAGATGTACGAGCAAATGTTCTATTAAGTCAAAAAAATGAAAAGAAATATTTGTTCAAGCTTAAATAAAATTGACGAAATACTCGCATCAAAACTTATCATAAAATCAACATTCAAAGTGCCCACGCACAACTCCCTGAAGTATTTACTGATTTTGATCGAGTTCCAACTTTGGCAGGGCATTGAATGCAATAGGTAATAAGCACTACATGATAATATGACAATTGTGACTCTTCATACCAAATATTTTTCCCATTCTCAAATCAAAACATTAGCCTATGTTAGAGACACAGCCACTTCAAAACTTTAAAGATTGCAACCACTCAAAGATTGTTTTTTGTTGATCCGATGTGAGACAATTTTTAGCTTTGGGCTTTATTATTTTACCTATATTTGTCTTTTGCAGTTCTAGCCCCCTACTATTGCAACACTATTTGAGGCTCAATTTTGCTTTGAAGTTGTCCTTTATTTTTTCTTTGATATCCAGAATAGTATTGAATATATTATCAAAACAATTATCCTCAATATGCATAAGATCTAGATTACGTCTAATCAAATTGGTCTTCCAGTATGAAAGATCCCAAAAAAATACTCTATTTCATACAATTATGTGTAACGCCATAATCTGAAAGACAACTCGAGGCTAATTTCGACCTCTCAGTGATCTTTGGCACTTCACTGATCATCTACAATA